GCACTGGTTACCTGTACGATACAGGTCGCAGTACAAAATTCTGGTATACACATACAAGGCACTGAATGGAACAGCTCCTCAGTACCTACAGGAACTTGTTACCCTGTATCAGCCGTCAAGATCACTGCGGTCGGAGTCAGAATCTTTGTTGTGTGTCCCAAAATCTCGTACTGTGACCTACGGAAACAGATGCTTTGGGAGGGTTTCGGCTACGTTGTGGAATAGCTTACCATCTGCTATTAGGAAGTCGAATACCCTGGCCAAGTTCAAGAGGGACATAAAAACTCACCTCTTCACGTCTGCATATTAGAATCTTTGCAAAGACGTCATGTAAATGTGCACATTGCTTGTTAAATGTATGCAAGTGATTGCAAGCCTTTGTTGTTTGTTTTCACAATTATAACCATTACTATTATCCATATGTTGTAAAGCGCCTTAGAGTAATTTTACAAATTATATAGGGCGCTATATAAATGCTGTATATTATTATTATTATTATTATATAATGATTCCTTTGTTGAGTAGAGTAACTTATTCCTCGATTACGTTTCCATCACATGTAGGTTGTCGAATTCAGTAAGTTACCTCTGTCCTCTAACCCCCAATCGTTCCATCCACTATCACCTCCAATATATTCACACGTGGAGATAATGTTTAAACATGAGTCAAATCAGTTATGTATCTTACACAACAGTAACACTTTATATAGCAGTTCTTCAAAACATTTATAATAATCTTTATGTTCAATATTAACCGCATTTTTAAACATATACATTACAGTGGAGATAGGTTACAGATACAAACGCAGCACGGCCGCCTCCAACTTCGTACTTTAATACGACGGCTCATTACACGTAGTTTTATCAATCAATTATTTATTTATAACTTTTAATAGTCTTCTATTCTCAATTGATGTCGCTCCTCGTTCCCTAATGTAATCTATATTTCAGGAAAACCAGCATGTATATAGCATGTGCATATTTAAACTAATAAGGTATTGGTTTAATACCTGTCAAGGATCTTGTTGATAAATAAGGCTATTAAATGTTTATCTCGTTGTTTGCAAAGACGACATCTAGTGGTTGAAATTTGAATTAACGTCTGTTGTCTAGGTAATTCTGTGTAAACCCACCCACACCTTATGGAGAGTAATTATTGTATTGCATGGTATGACAACGGTAATGTTCAGGATATTCTTTTAGCACTTTCAATGACGTAATACATTTTGGAGCCTACATCAATGTCAGAAAAGGGCGAACAAACACTTGAAAATAGGATATGTATTAATATAAACTTTGGCAGCTAACAATGAGCGAACATAACATAGAAATCGACGACAGGATGAAAAAAAATCTTAAAATAACTGATATCGACTAAATAGTCAAAAAGGGTTTTGGCATCACAGACATCGACTTGATGGGAAAGACAAACCGTTAACCTAGAAGAGTAAATCGTTATAAAATCACAATGTCGGTCACAAACATTGATCAAGGTTTCCTCCGACCCGCCATGTGACATGTGTCCTGTGTCAGAAATAAGCAGCACAGGAGGCCCACGGGGCTCATGACTTCGTGATATAAGGGGGAAAACTCTCAAAACGTACTTCGGAATGGAGATAATTGGGTGAAGGTGGTCTCGACACATTCGTCATTGCCAAGATTTTCATCACTCTAACCAAACTATAGGGGATGTCTTTTACTAGGAATAAACTACATGTAAGACGAGATTCAGATGAGGCATTACTCCGATAGCATTTTGTAAAATCATGGATTTCACCAACTGCGTCTTTTGAAGCCGTTTGTTGTCAGATAGGTGAACGCAGCACACACAAAGGTTTTTGTACATCTTGAAACTTTAAACGTTTGTGTCCGTTATGACATCTAGTGGTTACGGCGCAGATAGTAAATTTACAAAAACTACATCATCTTTCAACTATTTTTTTCGAAACAAAATTGAGTCACTACACATGGTTTAATTGATTTGATTTTGTCTCCCTACGGTCGCTGGAAACAAACATGTCCTCTTTCCCCAAAATACACTCGGTTAGTGAGAGTATACATGTTAAATCTCAAATTTCTAACAGAGCAATGATTAACAATATCTATATACCAACACTTACCAAGTTATTGCATTTTGTCGAGATTCGGATTTGAAAGTTCATATCACAGTATTCAACTATCAGTTATTCAATATCTACTTTTTGAAATCACTGAATTTAAATTTATATCTACCCAAGGTCGTTAGAATAAAAACAAGTGCGGTGCCGTTCACGATGTCCTAGTGTCAAAAGACACCAACATGTTCAAATACCGCAGTGTTATACATACTGAACATATGAACATTAGCTCAAACAAGTCATCAGATGTAATATTATAAATGCAGTTAACAGATTATGGTATTTAAAACTTAATTTTAATGGTTTATATGTTTAATATTACCGTTTTGAACCTCTAGTGATAATTACCGGGCAGTACTGAAAGGCAACTAATAAAATACACCATATCATACCAAAAAAGGGTGATAATTACCGGGCAGTACTAAAAGGCAACTAATAAAATACACCATATCATACCAAAAAAGAGTGATAATTACCGGGCAGTACTGATAGGCAACTAATAAAATACACCACATAATACCAAAAAAGAGTGATAATTACGAATAGTTTTAATCATCCATTATTTATTTATTACTCTGTGTAATCTTTAATTCTTCTTTGCTATCTCCCCAAGGTCGTTAGATCCAACATGTGCTTTTCTATCTCCCGGGAACCAGTATGTTTAGAGCATTTGAATCCTTTCACTAATCAGGTATTGATTTTGCATTTGTCAAGATTTATGCCGATAAATAAGACTATTAGATGTTTATTTCGTTGTCCCTTATATACAGACACCATATTGTGACTAGATTTTCTTGGTTATCGAGGTACAATGTATGTTTATTCAACTTAATCCACACGTAGTGGCGATTTACGAGTACATGTCATGATATTTGGACTGTGAACATGAGGTTGTGTTGTGCTAACCTACAATCATTGATCTACTTTTAAGCCTACATCAATGTCCAAAAGAGCAAACAAAAAGGTATAATTATAGGCTATCTATCAGATGTCTTAATATCGGGCAAACCAGCGAATAAACATCGGCTTCGTGACAGAAATGGTTCGGAAAAATAGATATCTTACACATGGTAAAACAATATGAACATAACTGACACGACTAAGGAGAACTGTTACTGACATCAAAAAATCTAAATGAAAGAAACAATGACTTTGCTGATATCAACTAAATAGGGGAAGGTGATATGAACTGTAATCAGGAAGACAATATGAACTGCAATCAGGAAGACAAAATGAACTGCAATCAGAAAGACAAAAACTGCAACCAGGAAGACAATGTGAACTGCAATCAGGAAGACAAAATAAACTGCAATCAGAAAGACAATATGAACTGCAATCAGGAAGACAATATGAACTGCAATCAGAAAGACAAAATGAACTGCAATCAGGAAGACAAAATGAACTGCAATTAGGAAGACAATATGAACTGCAATCAGGAAGACGAGATGAACTGCAATCAGGAAGACAAGATGAACTGCAATCAGGAAGACAATATGAACTGCAATCAGGAAGACAATAAGAACTGCAATCAGTACACACAAATATACAAATTAAAAATGGTGACGTTACAATACAATTAATTCATCACTTTTTTTGTGCGCTCTTTCTAAAAGAAGTATTATTTGTCGTAACAATCTAACCTGGTACATTAGTGGACCGCAACATTTGACATTTTAATAAAACAGCTCGCACTATTGTTAAAAGCATGAGAGCGACTGGCATTTGTTTCCTTTACTACAGATTCTTATTAATAACATTTCATGAAGTAATGAGAAGCAAAAATGCTTAAGGCATCCTTGAACTATCCTTCATTCAGCTTTGAATCAAACTACGAACAAATGCATTTGTATATAATTACACGCATGGTCAAGCCATCACGTCCTTGAACTTACGATTCATTACCACAGATAGGTTTTTTGGAAACAAATAAATTGCGATAGCATATCAAGGATTCCAACATGTAGGTTTTATTAACTAATTATTGAATTATCAATCTCACGAGAGAAACGATATATACACCCAGGCCAATATGATACTGGGCAATCAAAGCAATAAATAGGGGCATGGTTCCATAGAACGAGGCGATGGTACAAATCAATAGGTCGGGAATCGTACACATTGTCGCCTGTAACCTGACCAATATGTCTTAAGGAAAGACCGTTGGTCATTCACAACTGACCGGTCCTGTTTGCATAACACACACACACACACACATACGGATAGTACACCACTATAGATACATATATATATGGCATTGATGACCTAAAAGTGCAGCGCGTGACAGAAACATCATAGGTCTTTATCAGTTCAACTGGTAAATGTAAGCTTATATGTGTATTGTTTCTAATACCGCCGGGAGTAACACAGCGACAGCTGTACATGTATAATCACTGAAAATACAGGGATCACCAACGGTCAGCGTAGGGTCACTCTCCGGAAAATTATAAGGATAGAAAAATACAAATCTTTTCCAATGTCCTGTCAAATTAGTGTAAATACTCTGAGGTATGTTCGTGTTTAGTGAACTTTTTCATTTCGGATATCGAAAATATTTAAACTCATTATGACTGCCTCAGATTAGTTTTCAAAAACATTTTGTATATAATAGACCAATCGAAATTGAGGCAAGAAAGTTTCGTATTTAACCTGTTTTAGATTATTTAATTCCACTTAAAAAAATAAGCTACATGATGTATATAAAAGATATCGTTTACGTTTAGAACGCATGTTTCAAGAATCAAAATGGGTTTAAAACGAATTGACCACAACATCGAAAACGACCATACAAAACCCTGACATGATTTATGTGACAACTACCTTTTGCATAGGTTGTCCCGTCACTGAAATACATACGGTGAAAATATGTTTAAAAATGCTTACTCACCAAAATGCTGACAAAGTTTAAAACATTTCCACTTCAGCACAATTCACTATCACTTGTCTATGTGGCCTGAGTTGGCAGCAGTGTCCATAGTCGGTGAACGTCTCAAAACAACATCTGCTGCAAAATAAAACAACCAATCACACGGTTAGAAAACATCCATGTAAGCCAGGGTAACATTTGGATCATTTAAACACATAGTGATCGTCAAACGTGTCAGATATTCGGAGAGTGCAGTATAAATACCACACAGTTTTGTCGCATTCCTTCTAGTTCAATTCGGGAATTAAAACATAAAAATGTTATCACTGATGAAGATTCGAAAATGTCTTCTTTAAGCTTAACAAATCCTGTTTTTTTTCTGAGCACCAAAAAAGTGTAGAGAAACAGAGAATGGACAAAAAGTCAATCAACCACCCTACCAAGCCGGCATTGTCCTTGACAAACAAATCATAGCAGCTTTAAGATTCGCCGCAGCTTACAGCAAACTCCTTTCATGATAAATGTCGATTCGTTTCAGCGCCGAGTCCCAACCCTAGAATAATATACGTTAGGTTTTACGATAGTTTTACTCGCTCGAATCATTTTCACTATCCACTCCCTTGTGTCGAGAAATGACGGTCGTTTGTCGGGAATGTAATCAAAGATTACACTCGAGTAAAGATCGTGGAAAACGAATCTAAAGTTGTAGGTTTAGTGTTAAAAGGGAAAGTATAACTGCAAATGAATGGACAGTGGGTTACTTTGGGACACTCCATGCAGTACTTCGGCCATTACCTCGTTCGTCTCTTATACTATCGACCAGTTTCGGATGATTAGTTCGCTTGAACAATTTCTAAACCATACATGAAAAAAGCAAATACACAATTTAAGTTCAAGGACAACGTGGTGATGCGAAGTAATTTGGTTTAGCATTATTGGATACATGGTTCGAAAGGTATTGTTGAATGAATAAATAAATGTAAAGACTGATAGGGTCGAAACATGGAGAAGGTATCAATGATTTCGTTGTAAGGGCAATATAAGGGGTAGGCGTTCATTTCGTTGTAGATGAAGTGAGGGATCGTAGATAAATGACAGGTTGGGAAATTATTTCGTCATAAAAGCAATTATTATAAAGCTAAAAAGCAGCTAGGTTTAAAAATCACATCGCGATTGACCTAGTAAAAAAGGCGCAGATTTGGAAAATAATTTCGTTATAGAGGCAGACAAATATCAGAAATCATTTTCTTATATTGGCAGGCATGCATGGACAATTATTTGGTTATAAAAGCAGAGACATGAGATAGATGCAGGGAGAGATGAGAATTGTTTCGTTATCGAAGCATTTAGGAATAGGAAATCAATTTCATTTTAATGGAATCATTTTACTTTTCCTTTCTGGATTCAATTCTGTTCGTGATTTTGAAGATGATGCATTCGATTAAAAATCTTTGGAGTCAACGATGGACACAAAGATGATCAATCCTGACTCTAAAACTGAGATATGTATCACCATGTTTCAAATTTAACAAGTCTTATTATTTTTTTAATCTAAAATCAATATCTTCTATTTGTTTCTCAAATGATTTGCCGCAAAATGTATCTCAGAACGGTTTCGTGACGACCACCGTTGCCCCGTTAGAGATTGCATCACTGGTAACAGTTGCTGGTTGAAGCGTTATTACAGCGGGTTATGAAACTGTTGTGTTACATGTACCATCCCTTAGGCTACATAGTTGTAAGTGTTCACGAGATCATCAGCGAGAAACCCTATACAAATCTTTATATCGCATTATCAATACCAATTAGCGGGCACTCTCAGCTTGTTATGTAACGAAAAAAGACACGCGATGGGACTTTTTATCTCTTTTCAAATAATAACAACTTTATCATTATATTTCAACACTAGATTATATAGTACACGGGCTTATAAGTGGATAGAGGCATGCAGGCTCACGTGAATGAACCCAATACACATAGATTCATAAAATACATATATGTACATGGACATACACTTATTTGTTTGTATAAGAACATAGACAGAGACATGGAATATATTTATACAATTTGTGTATTAACATGCTAACTCATTTAATACAAATACGTGAGCATGTATGATATGTATATTAACTTGGTAGAGTTGTATAAATACATGTATATGTATTTCAGTGACATTTCAACGTAAGAAAACCATGACTAATATTTATATCGACATACTAGCCTTAGTGTAAAAATATTGACTTGAAGAAACATGTGATACAGTTTACATTGTATAAACAGAAACAGAAAATATCTCGTTCGTAAACATGCATACATTTATTGCAGTAAAGATATAGGTACATACAATTAAGCATTACATTTCCCATCCTTTTCAATTTAAATACTCTTTCTCGTATCGGTTTCATAAAACAGGAGTTCCCAAAGATTCTACCTTAGCCCCTCTTGTATTAGAACCGCGAACAATTTATCAATTAACAAACTCAATAAAGAAGGCGTGTTTTAAAAATGTTTCGAATGTACACTTATTGAAGGAAAAAAAAGTATAATAGTTTTGGATTGAAAAAATAACTTGAGAGCTTATACCAAATCCTAGCTTTTCAACGTAAATTTTACTGTTACGTGTATAATATGAAACTACATGTTTTTCCCTAGAATAAAAACACACATTAAACTATAAAGGCATTATCTGACTGTAAATTCCTCTGAATGACAGACAACATAAGGATGGTACATATCTTTGAAAATGAAAATAGGCATTACAGTAATCACAGAGAAATGAAGGTTCCAACATGAATTTGCAAACTAAAGGGAAACAACTCGTTAATATGTTTGTTTTTACATGTACTATTTAAGATTTCTTTCTTTGAATCCACATTTTCTGTTTATTTTCCCAAATATTTGTCCTTTTACTTAAAATGTATTAAACATAATGATTATTTTCTTGGATTTTAAAACCATTTTTTTAATCTGATTGAAATTTATCACAAAAGGTGACAAAATATTTTGTGAAAAATAATGCATACAATTCGACGCTTTTTTGTGAGTTACATGTTCAAGGTTCAGGTAGAGCGAGGAACCTAGTGCTCGTAAACCAAAGCTGGGCTGTTAGAAACGTTACAGTGCATCGTTTTGGACAATACATTGGTTTAAAATCGGCATGTGGTACATGCCAACCTTTATTATAACGTTAGACCACTACAATGGACGAAGATGTATGGAACAGTGACGTCATACCAGCATTGTTCACAAATAGAGAGCCATTCCCATACCATGATAGACTTGAAAAGCTGAACCAGAATTTATCAAAATGTGATAAGAATCCGATAGAATGCTTGTACCTTCCCATCGTTGTCGTAGCTATATATGACTGGATACATGACAACACATTCTTTAAATTCCCGGAACGATCTTGGTATTTACAAGTTTATTTCTACTGTAGACAATTCTTTTTATCTGTATTAATGATACATGTTTTAGACTCCTTTATTTGGAACAACGGCACTACAGTAAATAAGCCCGGCGATTGTACAGTAAAATGGTACCAATTTAAATTTAAATGTAATCGTTGGTCGCTTATTCTCTCTAAACAATCATTTCGACAATAGGCTCTAAATGGGTGTAACCGTAGCATCGGATTTAATTTATCATTAGAGGTGAATTAAAATGTTTCCCTCCTTCAGAACACCCATACTCCACATCATTTAAAGATGTGATTAAAACAAAGGCATAGTCACAGGCGACGTAATCGCCTGACGTTTATGTTGAATCACCTAGCGTTCTAACTGTTAAAAAAACGATCGATAAATATATGGTGAGTATAGGATTATACATGGGAAAGCTTTTCTGTCAACTTAAAAGCAACTTCTGTATAGTAGTGGGCCGATAGCATCTTTACTCGTTACGTTTTCTACATTACACTAACGCCATCTGACGGATAAAGTGCCAACAATAATCTAATAATGACCATCATACATGCTCCCGAGTCTCGCATTTTTCACAAAATTTTGTTTTCAATGATTCAAGAAAATTGGCTACATAATCTTAAGAGTTTTACATCCCAAATAATGAAAACTGATATTTTGTTTCGTGTGTAAGCTTTCATCACTGAGACTGATAGTGTTGAAGAAGGGTGTTATCAGCTTTGGAGTTATGTCAAGATTTGATGGGATGAAATTAAAGGGGGAACGTCTGGTGTGATGTGTGTAACCCACAATACAGTGTGAAGGATATTTAATTATTTTCAGCAAGAGCACAAACGAGTCAACTGATTTGTTGATCTAAGATTTATTGCACGCTAATTCTGTAGCATAACATGTTTAATCTCCGCTCGGATACAATCACGCATGCAGAGCTTTCAGTTTCCTGTGTATTTTAATTAGTCAAAATGTAAAACTACAGCTAGACTCGACCGCTTACATCCTCTCATCATCAGTTCTTTGTAGTCGAACGCGCCGACGCCAATATGGTGTTGTTGTAAGACTAAGACCGGGTTAAGCGTCTAATAAAGTCTCGTGTCGTGCACTTTTTGTCCTTTATGTTAACGGATTTCAATCAGTACATCGATACATCGATACTGTGAATTATTTCATTTCACGAATTAAACGCGATAGTTCGCGAGGTACATTTAAAATAGATCAATTATTCAGTCATTTGTGTAGAAGTCGGGTACCTTGATGATCCTTGGAACTGGCATGAGCTTGTTTTATATTAAAACAATTGGAAATACAAGTGGGTGTAATGGTATAGCATTTATTAAAGAAAATAAAAAATGAGTCATTTTAAATAGCACATTTGGTTCCCATAGTATCGCTGTTCTTTCTCTTTTTCTTTTTCTTTCTCTTTTTGTTTCTGTTGTTGTAATGCTAGTATTATACATATTATTTGATACCCAGTTGTGCCATGTTTGTAAATCTGATGTATATATTTGAGGAAAAGGCGAAAATAATGTTGTAATAACTTGTGCCCAATCCTGTTGTCACTATTTTGGCAATAAAATATGTTTAAACTAAACTGATGATGTCACAGACTGTATGGCTATAAAACAAATAAAAAAGAAGAGACTAAATTGCTACGGGATGGCAACTCATTTGTCTTTGATACATGTAACCATCAAATATTCTTAAAAACTATTGTTGGCT